TAACCAACAGAAATAAAAAGGATAACAGAATACTATGAAGAACTGTACTCCAACAAATTAAAAAACCTGGAGGAAATGGACTAATTCCTAGAAACCATAAGACCTACCTAAACATCCCAGTCAGAGATAGAATACTTGAACAGACCCATAACAAAAGAAGAAATTGAGCAAAAAAAAAAAATCCCCCCCCACACACACACAAAAAAAGCCCTGGCCCAGATGGTTTCATTGGAGAATTCTATCAAACTTTCCTAGAAGAGGTGACACTTATCCTACTCAAGTTTTTCCAGAACATGTAAAAAGGATGACATACTCTCAGATTCATTCTATGAAACAAGCATAACCCTGATACCAAAACCAGGCAAAGACATCACTAAAAAGGAAAACTACAGACCAATATCCCTCATGAATACAGATGCAAAAATCTTCAACAAAATCCTACCAATAGAATCCAACACTATATCAAAAAAAAATAATAATAATACATCATGACCAGGTGGGATTCATCATGACTTGGTGTGCAAGGGTGGCTCAACCTTAGAACAACAATCAATGTAATCCACCACATAAATAAAACAAAGGAAAAGAACCACAGGATCATATTAATCAATGCAGAAAAGACATTTGATAAAAATCCAGCCCCTATTCCTCATAAAAATTCTCAGAAAAATAGGAATACAAAGGCAATTCCTCAACATAATAAAAGGCAAATATGAAAAACCAACAGCCATTATTCCCAATGGGAAGAGACTCAAAGCATTCCCCTGTGAATGGGAACCAGGCAAGGATGCCCTCTATCACCACTTCTACTCAACATTGTATTGAAAGTCCTAATCGGGGCAATAAAACAAGAAAGAGGGAAAAAAGGGTGAGGGGGGACATTCAAGTCAGCAAAGAAGATGTAAAACTATCTGTATTTGAAGATGACATGATCCTAAACACAGAAAACCCAAGAGACTCAGCAAAATAAATAAATAAATAAAATACTGGAACTAATTGAAAGTTTTAGTAAAGTGGTAGGATACAAGATCCACATACAAGAATCAGTTATATTCCTCTACACCAACAAAGAGATCTCTGTAAAGGAAAACAATACCACTTACAATAGCTGACAATACCACTTACGATAGCTAAAAGATAATAAAATACTTAGGAATAAATCTTGTCAGGGACACAAAAGGCATATACAAAGAAAACTATGAAACACTATTATAAGAAACTATAAAAGACCTACATAAGTGGAAGAATATCCTATACTCATGGACAGGAAGACTGAACATTGTGAAAATGTCAATACTATCCAATGCAATCTATAGATTCAATGCAATCCCAATCCAAATTCTATCAACATTCTTTAAGGATATGGAAAAATCAATCATCAATTTTATTTGGAAAGGAAAGAGAGCCCAGATAAGCAAAGCACTACTGAAGAAGAAAAACAAAGTAGGAGGTCTCACAGTTTTGGATCTTAAAAACTGCTATACAGCCACAGCAGTCAAAACAGCCTGGTAATGGCAAAATGATAGACACATAGACCAGTGGAACAAAGTTGAAAGTCCATAAACAAATTCATTAATCTATAGTCAGCTGATCTTTGACAAAAGACTACAACCCATCCCATGGGGAAGAAACAGTCACTTCAGCAAATGGTGCAGGCAAAACTGGATATCCATTTCCAGAAAAATGAAACAAGATCCATACCTCACACCATATACAAAAACAAACTTGAGATGGATCAAAGACCTAAACAAAAAACTCACAACTATAAAGTTCATCAAAGATAAAATAGGGGCAAAATTAGGGGCCCTAAATAGACTACGAAACATAAGCCAAAATGCACAAACAGCAAAAGAGAAACTAGATAACTGGGACCTTCTGAAAATCAAATTCTTATATGCATTAAAAGACTTCTCCAAAAGAGTAAAAAGAGAAACTACAGATTTGGAAAAAAATATTTGGCAATGACATGCCAACAAGGGACTTATCTCTGAGAATTATAGAAAACTCCAACACCTCAACATCAAAAAGACAAACAATCCAATTGAAAAATGGGGAAAGGATATAAACAGATACTTTACCAAAGAAGATATTCAAGAGCCAAAAAGAAAAAAGAAGAAATGCTCTCGATCATTAGCCATTGGAGATGCAAATCAAAACAACAATGAGATATCATTTCATTCCAGTAGCAATAGCAAAGTTCAACAGGACAGAAAATATCAAATGCTGGTTTTGGTGTGGAGAGACTGGAACTCTCATATAGTGCTGGTGGGACTGCAAAATGGTACAACCACTGTGAAAAATGGTATGGCACCTCCTTAAAAAGTTAGAAATAGAAATACCATTTGATCCAGCAATACCATTATTAGGAATATATCCTAAAGAGGTGAGAGCTGGGACACAAATAGATATATGCACACACACATGTTCATAGCAGCACTACTTACAATGGCAAAGAGATGGGAACAATCTGAATGCCCACCAATAGATGAATGGATAACCAAACTCTGGTACATATACACAATGGAATACTATGCGACATCAAAGATTAATGAAGAATCAGTGAATCACCTCCTAATGTGGATGAACTTGGAAGACATTATGCTAAATGAAATATGTCAATCATCGAAAGACAAATATTACATGAGTCCACTATTGTAAAAAGTCAAGGAAAGTTTTACCCAGGGAAGGAAATTTCTTTGTTGATTACCAGGATGGGAGGGAAGGGAATGGGAAGGAAAACAGATGGATAATTAAGAGACAGGTTTGATATGAGTAAAGGCATTTTAAAAAGAGAGAAAGAAGATTAGCCATTAGTTGATAGTTTTTGAAGCTAGGTTATGGGCACATAGGGGTTCATTGTACTAGTCTTTGTTTCTGTTTGAAATATTTTATAATAATAATAATAATAATAAAAGGCAACTTGGTATTGTGGTGAATTGCATATATAAGAGTTGCCTGCCAAGTAATCTTTCTGTCATAACAGTTCTGATCATATCCTTATTCAAGCATAGACATAGATCTGAGGTCTATATTTGAAAAATGATATAATGAAATTGAACAGAGAATCTATTACATATGTAATTGACTTCACTGACAGAGCTCTGGAAGTGTAGTGCCCAAGGTATTTGACTGCTAACCAGAAAGTTGGCAGTTCAAACCCACCAGACACTCCGTGGAAGGAAGAGTGAGCAATCTACTTCTCTAAAGATTTACTGCCTTAGAAACCCAAAAGAGGGTCACTATGAGTCAGAATCAACTCAATGGCAGTGGGTTTAGTTTTTGGTTTTTTAAGAAATATAAACATAGAATCGTTTTCTTTTTCTATACAAGTGCTACTAATTGCACCTTTTCAAAATCCCCTTTCCACTGAGTATTCCCTCCCTAGTAAAATCTCAGTTCTGGTCCCGTTATTTTTCAGTCATTTTTTATGATTAAAACCATCTCACATCCTGTACAAAAATTTCCTTTTTCTTTGGTTCTGGTTGAACTATTGATTCAACCAGTTTGGGTTGGGGAAGGTTGGATTGTCTTTTCTCCCCTTCTTTCCTTCTTCATCCCTCCAGCATTTATTCATAACAAAAGCTTCAGTGGTAGGGTTTGGGTGAGGTTAGGCATCATCTTGCTTCAATGACCATAAGCCATGGATGGCAAGTCCACTGTCCTTTATTCTGTTCTGTTGTTACTTCTCCCCCCATGGCAGGCACCTGAATGCTGGCTCTCTCATGAGGAAATATTTGTTGTTCTTCAAAGGGTACTCTGAAGCCTCTCTCTACATGACTTTCCCCTCCCTTGCATGTGGGAAATGCCCTGAGGCTCTGACTCTTCCTCCCTACTCTAAAATTGGTGGTTCAACCCATAGCCTTCAGGGCTGAGGTCAACTCACCCAAATGGACATCACTCTTGAGTGTTCTGGCAAGACAATTTAAGCCAAACCCCAATTTATTGTCTCCACTTTTACCACAGGGAGTCCCCACATCACCTTATCAAGTCAAGCAATGGGAATGCAGACTGCTGCCCAGCCCATCCCAGCACTCCAGCTCTCTCTACTGCCAGCTATCCCCTGTTCCTTTTCCTCACAAGCAGCATCACAGTTTCTGATGATTTCCAGTTTGGGACAAAGCAACTTTCAGAGAATAGACTAGTATACATTCTTAATTTTGGAGAAAAGAAATTATTTGGGTAACCAATCTCATAGAAAGTAGAAAGATCAAATCAAATGCCCCTTCTTCCCTAAGGCAAAGAAGAGAGGAGGAAGATACCACTGCCACCCCACAAACTCTGTCTTCTCCCAAAAAGTCAAGCCCTTCCCCTACTCATCCTGTTATGTATTTTCTTGATAAAAGTCTCAAAACTGTTGAGCATCTCTCAATAGGGTATAGTCAGGGAGACTCACATTAAGAAGAGAGCCCTCTTTACCTTAACCAGTAAAGAATATCTGTCTTGAGGACTTCCAATAAGATGGCAGAATAGGCAGACAAGCTACACAGACACTCTTCAACAAAGAAAAGAGAAACCAATTGACACAGATACAGAAGATAAACCTGAAGCCCTGAGCTTTGAAAGGAAGTATACAGAAGTGAATTAGGACCAGAAACCAACAGGAGATGCGGCAATGGGCCACCATGCTGGTGCAAGTCCAGCTCTGGGCCTTAGTGCGGGGTCTAGGCCAGCTATCGCAAGGCAGAGAATTCAGAAGATAATTGGGCAGCATTGGGCACCAGAAGGGCACTACATGCCCGAAAGCTGCCTTGCTGGCCCAATTTTCCTTGGATGTATATGGAGTAGCGCTTCAGTAGCCAGGGAGCTGGAGGGGAACCTGAATGAGATCAATTCTTGGAGAGCAGAAAGAAGTGTGGTGGATTGAACCAGCTGCCCTTTGACCCTGCTAGCAACAATGAACCCTTGCAGTTTGGTAGTGCCAGTGGCCCTCTGGTCACAGAAGGCCTCATTGAGAATGGAGGGGATTCAAGCAAAAAAAGAAAGAGAACAAATGCTCCTTCAGAGCAGCTGATGGGTTCAAACCACCAATCTTTTGGTTGACAACCAAGCGCTTTAACCACTCTGCCATCAAGGTTCCTTATATGCCTGTAGGTCTATGAAATAGGCAATGCAGGTTAGGGTGCATACATCTGTTTGCAAGCTCTGTCCACTGAAAAAAGGGCCTAGAAGCAACAACTCACCAGTAGCCAAGAGCACATTCATCACCCAGATCTTGGTTTCTAATAATGTTTTCCAATGAGTAAAAGGAACCAGAATTTCTTTGAGAAATGACTGGTTCTAAGCCTGGGAGATGGAATAAATAAGAACCTAGAGCATTTTTAGTTCCAGAAAGTGGCTGATAATAGTAGAACTCTGAATGTGGACTCTGCTGCAATAACACTACCTATGTCTGATGCAACCGCATGGGCCACAGCAATGAATAATCTTGGGATGGCACCAGTGGGAATTGCAGGACAACCAATTTTACCTGATTTCAATCCTGCTCTTGGAATGATGACTGGAATTCCACCCATAACTCCAATGATGCCTGGTTTGGGAATCGTACCTCCGCCAATCCCACCAGATATGCCAGGAGTGAAGGAGATCATACACTGTAAAAGCTGCATGCTCTTCCCGCCAAATCCAAATCTTCCACCTCCTGCAACCCGAGAAAGACCACCAGGATGCAAAACAGTATTTGTGGGTGGCCTGCTGGAAAATGGGACAGAACAGATCATCATGGAAGTATTTGAACAGTGTGGAGAGATCATTGCCATTCGGAAGAGCAGAAAGAACTTTTGCCACATTCGCTTTCCTGAGGAGTATATGGTGGACAAAGCCCTTTACCTGTCTGGTTACCGCATTCGCCTGGGCTCTAGCACTGACAAAAAGGACACAGGCCGGCTCCATGTTGACTTTGCACAGGCCCGAGATGACCTGTGTGAGTGGGAATGTAAACAGCGCATGCTAGCAAAAGAGGAGTGCCACCGCCGAAGGCTGGAAGAGGAAAGACTGCGCCCCCCGTCCGCACCCCCAGTGGTCCACTATTCAGATCACGAATGCAGCATCGTTGCAGAAAAATTGAAAGATGACTCCAAGTTCTCTGAAGCCGTGCAGACCTTGCTAACCTGGATTGAGCGAGGAGAGGTGAACCGTGGCAGTGCCAACAATTTCTACTCCATGATCCAGTCGGCCAACAGCCACGTGCGCCGCTTGGTGAATGAGAAAGCTGCCCACGAGAAAGACACAGAAGAAGCAGAGAAGTTCAAATGGGCCCTTTCTGGAATTCTTGTTCAGTTTGAGCAGATCGTGGCTGTGTACCATTCCGCCTCCAAAGAAAAGGCCTGGGACCACTTCACAAAAGCCCAGCGTAAAAGTATCAGCGTTTGGTGCAAACAAGCTGAGGAAATTCGCAACATTCACAATGATGAGCTAATGAGAATCAGGCGAGAAGAGATGGAAATGTCTGATGATGAAATAGAAGAAACGACAGAAACAAAAGAAACCGAGGAATCAGCTTTAGTATCACAGGCAGAAGCTCTGAAGGAAGAAAATGACAGCCTTCGCTGGCAGCTTGATGCCTACTGAAATGAGGTAGAACTGCTCAAGCAAGAACAAGGCAAAGCCCTCAGAGAAGATGACCCAAACAAGGAACAGCAGCTGAAACTCCTGCAACAAGCCCTTCAAGGCATGCAACAGCATCTACTTAAAGTCCAAGATGAATACAAAAGAAAAGAAGCTGAACCTGAAAAAGTCAAAGATGACAAGTTGCAGGTAGAAAAAATGTTGGAAGATCTCAAAGAAAAGGAAAGCTATGCTTCCAGACTGTCTGCATCAAACCACGATAGCGACTACCCTCTTGAGAAGACCATGAACAGCAGTCCTATCAAATCTGAACGTGAAGCACTGCTAGTGGGAATTATCTCCACATTCCTTCATGTTCACCCATTTGGAGCAAGCATTGAATACATCTGTTCCTACTTACACCGTCTTGACAATAAGATTTGCACCAGTGACGTGGAGTCCCTCATGGGCAGGCTCCAGCATACCTTCAAGCAAGAAATGACCGGAGTTGGAGCCAGCCTGGAGAAAAGGTGGAAATTCTGTGGCTTTGAGGGCTTGAAACTGACCTGAATCCCTTCGCTTAACAGCTTGGGATCCTGGAAATAAATATGTGTCGGACAGGCTTAGAATATGATTTGTATTTTCAATGGTTTTCAAGTAGAGATTACTTGATCAATTCATTCCTGAGATATCCTCTGCGTTAAAATAAGGATCCTAGAACAGCACCTCGAGCCACAGGCCCTACAAAAAGAAATTGACTCAAACCTCTAGTGCTGTAACTTCCTCCCATTTTTGTCAGTTGGTTGTCTTTTTTTATTAGTAGTATTGACAAAGTCCTGAGACTAAAGAGTGGAGTGTTTTCGGTGTCTGTACTACTGTTGTAGATTTTGCTATTTTTCAAACACTGTTAACTGAAATATTTTGATGATTTGTATGTGATTTGTGTTTCAAAACTTCTCTTCACATTAATGTTGCTACTGGTGAGAGGGATGAGAGGAGCACTAGGTCCCCTGCATTACTGACATTGTTTTTCCAATCCCCAGTAAAGGAGGAAAACATCAGTGTCTTCTTGAGGATGCTTGACCATCTTCACCTTTTAAAAGACAAAAAGCATGGTTTGTGGCTTTTGGTTAAATTACTATGAACCAAATGTTGACAAATGTTCCAAAGTTATTTTCTATAATACACCAGATAAAAGGTCTATTTCAGAATTTTAATAAATAAATCTAGATGTATTCTCAGAATTAGAAAGATTTAAACATTTAAAAAAAAAAAAAAGTGAATTAGCCACCAAATAGTGGAAAAACCTAAGTGAAAACAGTTGAGTATAGAGACAAACAGAGCTGCAAGACTGTCAGCTGCTCTGATAGGACCCACAGCCTGAATATTTCTAAGTGGTGTTAGGACCTGAGAATTGACCCAAAGATTAGCCCTTGTTGCCAGGGGCTACAGGGATGACTGTACTAGTGGCCCATGACTAGGAAGGGAAACAGCAAGGAGGGAGACAACCTGAGCTGTGGACTTTCTGCTGTCCAGAGAGTGCAGCTATTTTGATTGTTTACCTGCAGTGGCCATTTTTGTTATTTAAAGTGACTGAGAGTGCAGCCATTTTGAATGTTTATAAGCGGTGCCCATTTTGGTTATTTAAAGTGACTAAGGGTGCAGCTATTTTGAATGTTTACAAGCAGCAGCCATTTTGGATATTTAAAATGACCAAGAGTACAGCCATTTTGAATGTTTACAAGCTGCAGCCATTTTGGATATTTAAAGTGACAGCATTCTCATTTGGATTCCAGGGACCTAAGAATAGGATCTATTTGCCAAGGACAGCAGGGACATAATGGAGGCTGGCAATGAGAAAGGAGACAGGTGGTGAAAGTATAAGTGCAGCCAACTAGCAAACAAAGGAGGATAGCACAGTACCCTGCTTACTTAGATAACATCCAAACAAAACAAAGAAAATGAAAATCAAGGGCAAGTCACTCCAACATACAATCACCAATTAAATATAAACACAAAAAATGTCACAATATCTCAGAGACAACAGAGCATCATTGTGGTGGTTAAGTTTCTGTGTCAACTTCGCTAGGCCTAGTTGAACGGCTGCACAGCTGGATGTGGTATTCCCCACGATAAGACAGGTAATCAACTCCATGGTGGAATCTACTGTGAGCAGCTGAGTAGCTGCCTTTGCACAGGTGGTCTGCTTCCCATATATAAGAAACAGCCTTGGGAATGCTCTCCAACTTATGGCACACATGAACCTTGCATGTAGCCATATTGTTTGGCAGTCTGTCATGCTTTGTCAACCTTGGAACTTTTGATGGACTTGAATTAATGGCTTGCCATATGGTTTGGTAACATGGTAACTGTGCCATTTTATTTGTTGACCTTGGGCTTGTTAGCCTCAGCAGCCAATAACTGCCTGAGTGAAGAGATGCCTCTAGCCTAAGTGGGCCAGGAGCAAGAGGCAAAACTGAAGCGCAAGGTCAAGGGGCTTTTGCACAACCCCTAGAGCTTGGCACTTGGAATTCAGACTTCTAGCCTCCTGAACTGTAAGTGAATAAACTCCTATTTGTTAAGGCCATCCCATTTGTGGTATATTCTTGTCAGAGTGGCACTAGGTAAGCAGAACAATCACACTCCACACAAAGAAGCAAGGTAAACCAGGAGAAACAAGGGACCAGGATACAGACCCAGAACACATCCCTGAGGAAGAAGCAGCATTGGAACTCCCTGGTAAGGAATTCAAAAGAATTATATTGAGGTACCTTCAATGGATTGAGAGACAGATCAAGGAAAACACTGACAAAATTGAGGAAAACACACAGAAAACCTTAGAACAATTTCAAAAGAGAATACAAGAACAAAATGACAAAATAAATGAAAAATTAGAAATAGTACAAGATTAATACTAAATTGTCAGAAATAGATTACACATTGAAAGGGCAAAGGAGTAGAATTGAATCAATGGAAGACAGAGTTAGTGAGATTGAAGACAAATCCCTCAATACTTCTTTGGAAAGGAAATAATCCGAAAAAAGATGAAAACAAAATGAAGAAAGTCCAAGGTTCATGTGGGATACCATCCAAAGGAATAACTCTATGTGTAATCAGAATTCCAGAACAGGAAGAGACAAATAAAACCACTGAGAAAATTGTCCAAGATTTGTTGGAAGAGAATTTCCTTCGTATGATGAAAGATGAGAATATATCTATCCAGGAAGTCCAATGAACCACAAACAGGACAGACACCAAAAAAAATCACCAAGACATAACATCATCAAAGTACTAAACCAAAGACAAAGAAAGAATCCTGAAAGCAGCACAGGAAAAAAGAAAAGTTATCTACAAGGGGCAACCAGTCAGACTAAGCTTGGATTTCTTGGCAGAAACCATGCAGATGAGTAAACAATGGGATGGTATATAAAACCTTGAAATAAAATAATTTCCAACCAAGAATTATATACCCAGCAAAATTTTCCCTCAAATATGATGGTGAAATTAGGATATTTCCAGATAAGAAGAAATTAAGGGAATTGGTTAAAACCAGACCAACCTTACAAGAGATGCTAAAGAGAGTTCTTTGGACAGAAAACCAAAAATAGCAAACAACAACCAACCATTAACATACATGATGATGACATAACCTAGAAACCAATCCAATAATGGAAGTATTCAAGTAAATAAGTCTAAAAGATTGTAAACAGGGATCCAGAAACATCAATTGACAAATGAGGACAACTACAAACCCATCAATTGACACATGAGGACAAATACAAACCAAAAGGGGGGGGGTGTACTTACAGAACTTTAAATGGTATGGAAGTCAAAACAACTGCAAGATAAAACAGATTGTTCTAAACTTGGGAAGAAAAATATAACTTGCAGGGTACCCTCAAAGAAAAATGATAAACCTTCACATCAGAATGAAAAAGAGGACAAGCAAAAATATTTAGCAAATACTAAAACAATAGCAAGGAAGGAAGTGATAACACTATTCATAAACACAATTAGCTCAACACAGAAAATTATATGGAACAAAGAAATGAGCAACACCACAAAAAAGCACATAAGAAAATGACAGCAACAAATTCATACTTGTCAATAATTACATTGAATGTCAATGGATTAAATGCACCACTCAAGAGAAAGAAAGTTGTAAACTGGATAAGAAAACATAACCCATCAATATTCTGTCTAGAAGAGACACATCTTAGAGAGAAAGACAAAAATAGACTAAAAATCAAAAGTTGGAAAAAGATATATCAAGCAAATGGCAACCATAAAAGAACAGGAGTGGCAATATTAATTTCTGGTAAAATTGACTTTAAGACAAAAACCACCATAAGATATCTATGCACCCAATGAAAGATCCCCAAAATACATAAACCAGACTCTAAGATAACTGAAAATACAAATAGATGACTTCACAGTCATAGTAG